GCCACCACAACTCCTCACCTACAATGGTAGCAGTGAGGACTGAGGACACATAGCGTCATCCTCAGGGTCACAGCCCACCAAGCTCACATATGTCCTACAGACACATGGCATCCCTAATAGATGACCGCTGTCCCGAGCGATAGAGGAAACAGGAAGCTGCATTCTTGTTCTCTGGAGCTCGGATCTGTGGGAGTGAGGGGGTGTGTACTGGGCCTAGGTAGCTGGAGATGTGCTGGACAGACCTGCAGGACCGATCTGCTCCCCAGCACATGTTGGCCTTGAGTGTGGCATCTCCAGGACCTATATTCTAACTGATGGAAGACCTCGGTGGCCAGGGTGAGGGAGCAGGCCAGCCTCACCAAAGGTGTCCAAGAGCTACAGATACTGACCTGGGCTTTGGGACCCCAAGGAGTGGGATATTTGGGGACCCCAAGGAGTGGGATACTTGGGGACCCCAAAGAGTTGGTGGCAGAGACATAACAGCCAGGTCAGGCCTGTGCAGAAAGGGTCAAGCCTGAGAAGACCCTCCCGAGATCAGAGCCGCCACTGGGGGTGGGGGAAGGAACGCACCCGCTCAGAGTGCTGGCCATAGAAGAAAGGCCGCAAGGACAAACGGAGGCACCCAAGCTTGAGGCCATGGTGGGCAGTTCTGGAGCTGTGCCTGGGGCTGAAGGGCAGAGCGTGGCCTCTTCCCCAAAAGGTTCCTGAGCAAACACAGCTCCTGGCTCAGCATCCAACGATCAGGCCCTTGTCTCTTAGAAACTGCGTTCGAGTGTCCCAGCCATGGCCAACAGTGGTCTCAGACACTGTCAGCTGGACTTTCCCGCCTTGGGCAGGGCCAGTTCTGACTTACTGTAGAGGTAGAGAGCCCATCGCAGCCCCTTCCCCAGGTATGAGTTAAGCACCTGAGACTGGGGACACATAGTGTCTGTCCTGGAGGCTGGTGTGATAGTGTGGGTGGACATCAAACGCAGCACTAAGGTGAGCGGAGTGAGCAGGGGGCAGTGCGCTGCTGTGGCTTCAAGGGCAGGCACCTCCGGGCGCCTCTGAAGCATGGATCTTCTGAACCATTTGCATCTGGGGACTCCAGAGTGTGTGTCCTGAGCCAAACTTCTGCTCCAGGGCTCCAGCCTTCCTGCACCAACAAGCCCAGCACACTGCTGCTAGCTGCCACACACAACGAGCTGAGACGACTGCTTGCCCTTGCCTGACTTCCAGAGGGTGGTGAGCAGGCCTTTCTTCCTGGTCTTAGGTTGGAAGATGCGTGGAATCTTGTGTGGCTGGACAGGCTGCTTACTGTCACACAGCATTTTGAAATCCTTTCAGAAGGAGTTCCTTTCAGCTTTTCTGTCCTTCCCCCTGTGCAGCCCGTGGTCATTCCTATATCTACTCTTTTCTTTTCAGAGGCAGTTAATCATATGGGGAGATTGCCTCTATTTTGCTCCTCCACAGAGGAGCTGGTGACTAAGACACCAGAGCTCCTTACACATACATATCATGTATACACATACAGACTTGTCTTTATAGACCTATCTATGTGTACACAAAGACACACACACCTAAAGGGTCGTTATCAGTCACCTACGACTCGACAGCACTTAACAACAACAACAAAAGAGAGTTCTGGTGGATAGAAAGTGATGCTACCAAGCCCAAGGTGGGTGATTTTAATCTGCGGCCCTCAGTCCTGCTTTAAATTGGTTTTTGTCAAACATTCTTCTAAGTGGTATAGCACTGGTTTGTCCACTTGCCATACAGAGGTAACCCATGGTTGCTGTGATACTAAACACTGTGACACTGATGTGTCAAATGCAATAATGGTTACCCATGGTGGACAGTGTTTGGTGGAGCTCCCCGATTAAAACAAGCTTGGAAACAGGAGTGGCATCCACTTCTGAAATGGCTTGCCTCCAGAAACTCTATGAATGTGGAGGAACAATGAAACTTATACAAGTGTTCAGGTCTTTTGTTCACAAGGTTGCTATGAGTCGTCTACGACTTGATGGCACTTAACAACAATAACAACTCTTTGAATTCTAAGTCCTCTGCCGTATCCACCCTATTATTCCTACGCATGGCTGTGTACTCCTTCCATCTTCCTTTGATACTTCCTGTATCATTCACAATTTTATTCATAGAATCCTTCAGTATTGCAACTTGAAGCTTCCATTTGTTCCTCAGTTCTTTCAGATGGAGAAATCTTGAGTATGTTCTTCCCTTTTGGTTCTAAATCTTCAGCTGTTTGTACATTTCGTTCTAATACTTTGCTTTGTCTTCTCAAGTTGCTTTTTAATATTTTCTGTTCATCTCTCTTATTTCATAATTTCTCCCCCTTTTTTCGCCTCTCTACATTCTAGTGCAGTTTTCAGAGTCTCTTTGGACATCCATTTTGGTCTTTGTAATTATCATTTGCTTTCTTCATGGATGATGTCCCTGATATCACCCACAATTCATCTGGTCCTCTGTCATTAGCATTTAACACATCAAATCTATTCTTGAGAGTTTTTTAAATTCAAGTAGGACAGACTCAAGATTGTGCTTTTGGTTCTCGTAGAGAACCAGTGTTTTCATTTTATCCACCTTAAATTTGAACTTGCACATGAGTAATTAGTACATTGTTCCACAGTCCATCAATAGTTGTGTATATGTGTGTGTGATGTTGTTATTGTTGTTGTTGTGTACCACAGAGTCGGAAGTGACCCATAGCTGACCCTCCTGTGGGTTTTCAGAGGCAGTTAATCACATGGGAGGAGATTAACCATCCTTCTCCTGCAGAGCAGCTGGTGGCCTCGAACTGGGTGTCTTCAGAATTGCAGCACAGCTTCTTGCCTCTATGCCATATAACATGTATATATGCATGTATGCTATTGATTCTATCAAAAGACACATACACGTATACACATGCATACATACACAGATAGACATGCACGTGCATACAATCATGTACATAAACACAAACACACATTATACACAGACATATACATGAACACACACATACACACTCAGACATATATTTATCGATATTCGGACACATGTAATACACCTATATACACAAGCACACCTACACACATATATGCATACATGTATATACATACAAAATGCACACGTACATACACGCATACCCACACACAGTGGCACCAGAGCCCCTACACCTCACCCCTGCGCTGGGCGCTCCCCACTCAGCTCCTTTCTGCACACTCTCAGCAGCCTCTCCTCTGCAGAACTCCCCCACTGTCACTGTCACAGCAGCTGCCACAGAAACAGTGTGAGGAGAGGAGCGTTCAAAAGCTGTATGGCGGTGCTGTGTGAGGGGACATGTGTCTCCAGAACACGCAGGCTGCCAGCTCTGTGAGGCCTGGGAAGGAGCTCGGGGGCAGGGAGGTGGGAGTGGAGCTGGGCCCTGGCTAAACAACCTGAGACAGACGGACAGGACAGGGGTCAGCAGGGACAAAGGGCAGCTGGGATGTCTTGGGTGGGCAGGCACCCCTCAGCTCTGTACACAGCAGGCGCTAGGTGCTTGATGCCCAAGCAGGCACGACATGGACACCTGCAACAGAAAAAGTGCTTTACTGGTCAGGCTGGGCACTCCACATGGGAGGAAGGACCGGCTGGCCCTTCAGACTGGACTGGGGCCAGAAGGGGCCGGAGACTGTAAAGAGTAGGGGCCTCGAATCTGCAGACGACTCGACCATGACCCAGGTCTTCAAGTTCAGAACCATCACCCAAGAAGCGACCAGAGGAGCTCTGGTGGCCTAGTGGCAAGACGCTGCACTGCGCTCCCAATCCCAGAGGTGCATGGTTCGAATCCACCAGATGCTCTGCTGGAGTAGGAGGGACAATCTCCTCCTGTAATGTGACGGTACACACAAAAAATAATTTAAAAATATAATTTTTTTTAAAAAAAGAAGCGACCAGAACCTGTCGCCAGGCTCCAACTCCCTTTCTTTTCTCAAGCGTGGGAAGGTGCAGCCGAGACTGCAAGTCTGTGTGGACAGGGGACTCGCAAAGCCCCAGGCGGGTTGGCAGCACCCGCTGAAGCCCAGGTGGCCTGACAGGCGGTTCGGTGATATAGTCCGTCCATCCAGCTCAGGACCACGGGGTCTCCCAGACTCCATTCCGGCCAGCGCACCCCCGACAAGGCCTCCCACACAATCTGATTGTCACGTTGACCTGGTCATCTGGCTACCC